GTCTCTCTCTCGAACATCACCTTCGTTTTTTGCTGCAGTATATTCTGCAGATTCCTATACCTATAAATTCTTAGGATCCTGTTCATGGTTTTCACCATTCCGAGCTTCTCGTTCATTTAGCAGAACACTTCACTGTCAAAATGACCGTGATCAGAGTGAAGTTTCGATGGTAATTCAAAACTACTGATAAATTGGTTCAGTATTGAACATCTGAGATAGTTACGGCCTCTTTTTTAGAGACCGCATATTATTACACCTATTTGGTGGAGTAGTCCATGCAGACAAAAATAGAGAAGCAATCCTGTCAAAATGACTTCCAGCATTGTAGTTTGATGGGAGCCCTTGGTTCACGATGGGGTCATCTATGTAGTTCACCAAGTTATACTGCTCACGTACCGGCTGCATTGGCTGCAGTATTATTCTCAAAACATTACTTCCTTATCCTTCAAGCGACTACGATGTGGGCCCCCAGGTGGACGTGGATAGGATATTTTGGCCAATGCATCTGTATTCCTTTGGCTTGCCTCTCCTAGTATTCATTAGGATCCTCATTTCAGAAGCCTCTTTATTCAACGAGCTACTTGTCCGTCAGAGAAAAGTACTTCACTGATTGATTTCACCGTTGTCAGAAAGTTTCATCTTGGTAACAGGGTAGTTCACTTCTGTCTTTGATAATAACCTCATTGGAGTGACCGATAATTCGTTCCTGCTATTATTAACGTTGAAAAATTGATAAACTCAACCCAGTATCGATGATGAATGCTGAGTTTTTTTGTCTGCTGGATCAATTTCTTTTCACCCGCAGAATGGAAAAGAGATTTGATTTAGTTTGGTATTGTTTTTATGTATCACAATTCTCATTCATCCAGTTTTTCCAGTGGTATATGAAAATGGTCCTATACCTCGGCAGTGATTCGGTTTACTTCTTCTGTCGGTTCTTGAGGTAACCGCTTGCATCAGTGACGAGTGCTTTATACTTATTGTTCTTTTCAGTAGTTGCTATGGATTATCAGAACTGTCGAGTTCGTTCCCTTGCCAATCATCACTATATAATCATTGATGTTGATCAATAGATGCGTAACATGGTCGTTTGATGACAGTTACGCTTAGCCGACTGATATTCTTCGTCCGACCTCCTCTTAATTGTTCCAGGATCCAATGATTACTGGACTGCCATGTTCTAACGTACTGAGTCCAGTTGGATCTCTTTCGTACTCACGATGTCTTCTACCAGAACATCATCTTCGATATCTGCCATGACATATAAATTTGACATATTCAATTGTTATAATCATCGATTTCCCCACTCACGTTGGCAGCTTTGCCTCGGGCAGTTCACATAATTATACTATTGTGAGTGCACGAGTGGCATACTTGAAGTAGACGCTACTAGTATCACGCTCCAAGAATGACACAAAGATAAGGAGTTGACTCGCTTCATTTTCCTTGCAGCTGTTCGAACTCGTCTCTACTTCTCATTTCAGAGACCCTTGATGACTCCAATCAGATCTTCATCCTACTGACTGTGGGGTCATTACTCGAACTTTCGCTGATCCTCGTGAAGCTTTTGTCGCAGACTCGATATCTAGCGCAGCTGCTAGAGCACTGGTGAGGTTACTAGGTTGAATCAGATGAACCACTTCCTGCATCTGTTTGTCACAATGAACCAACCGGTTTATGTCCTTTTCGAATTCCTGCAAGCTCTCTGTCGATGGTCCTTCATCTGTAATTGTGATACTGGCTGCAGTTGTTCGTAACCATACCACATGTCGAGGCGTTTGACAAGATGATCGTAGCTATCGACTACACCCTCTAGAATTACTCGTTGGATGTTCAGTGCATCATTCCGTACAACTACTATAAGAGCCATAGGCATTGACAGCTGCTTCGAACTGCTTCAGGTAGTATGGTCACGATTTTTTTTCATCAAATGTTGGCTGCTCCACTCGATTGGTTGTAGTTACTTGATATAACTCTACTCTTCTATTCATCACGAGTTGATACCTATCCGCCACTTTGCAACTTGCAACTTATCAGCTTCTTCTCCATTTATTCAATCTGGGAGGTGAATAGTACGAAAATCTGATGTCACTATAATATGACGACAGCATGACTAGATCATCATGCTGTATCCGGCGTCTTCAAAATGGGTGATATACTTGGAGCGATGAGTTGTCTCAGTTGTCAGAAGACCGAGAGCGGCTAATGAGGCCTGGTGGGCCGAAGCGGTACAGTCTCGCTCCAAGTGACAATTGGGGCAACTCAACTGTTCATCCTAGATCTCTTAGTTATGAGTTCCAGTTCACTGAGCTGACTTCCTATTCTGCTGAGACGTAATCTTCATCTGTTGAGTCGCAATATATTTTTGCTTGAGTCACGAATTGATCTTGCTGAGCAGAAATCTGAGTCGATAGCTCTATCCGTTGAATCGACAACTGGTTCGTGACCTACTCTTGCTAAATATTGAAAACTTGTCGCTGAGCTGCAATTTTCTTGTGTCGAGCAGTGATCTGCGTCATAATCTCCTCCTTTGGGACGCCATTTGGTTCGCCATCTCTTTTTGCTAAGCATCAATTCCAGCCAACATCGGTTCCACCGAATCCAGTTCCTCAAAGATGAACGTCTCTGGATCTTGACACTGCTGACCATACGACCATACGATCTTCAAGACGAAGTATCTGGAGCTTGTTGCACAGGAATATTGATATACCGCTTATAGTGGATCAGAGTGAATCGTTTCAGAACTCACGACATAACCATCATAGATTTTTTGTTATATTTCACTTTATGTACAGGGTGATTCTTCATAAATATATTCTCCTCTAGGTCATATATTTTCAAACCGATTTAAAAATTTGAGAAATCATCTGGAAGGAATTTTCAGAAATTCTTTTTCCGCTATCAGAAAATACAGGGTGCTCGGAACAAACGATATGCAGGGTTGATTTCTTATTCAAATGGGACACCTTGTATTCCATTACCTCTTCATATTCTTCCTGGAGAGCTGATTCCATCACATTTGGGGTCTGGCGGAAATGATAAAGAGATATATTGTCTTCAAAATCGAGATTTTTCAACTTCAGGATGTATTGTTTATAAACTATTAATTATTGGTCGAAACGACTCACATGTCCCCATCCTAACTTTCGATTCACTATCTACTGACATTTAATAGGAACAGGACAGGGTGGTTCAAGATTCAGAATTCTGAACACCCGGTATCTGTTCCAATTATTGAATGTCAGTAGATATAGTGAATCAAAAGTTGAGATAGGAACATTGAAGTCGATTTGACCAATATGAATAGTTTGGTCGCAAAAAAATCTGAAATCCATAAATCTCGATTTCGAATACCCCTATATATATCGTTCATGAATTCCGCTTGACCCCAACTGTGATGTTTTGATGGGATCAGCTCTTCAGGGTGAATCTGGAAATGCCATGAAATACAGGGTGTCTCATTTTGAAATATCAACTACTACTCACCCTGCGTGGATCGTTTGCTCCGCGCACCCTGTATTTTCTCATATATCGAAAATAAAATTATCAGAAATCATTTCAAATTATTCTAAAAATTTTGGGACCGGTTCAAAACTAACTGAGCAAGAAGGAGGGACATTTATGGTGAATCACCCTGTACTTCGTCCAAATTTTTCGAGATTCATGAATGTAATGATATAGTCATTAAAGGTTTAGAAATATTGACGAAGACTTAAGAATATTTCGTATCGACATCTCTGAATTCTGATGAAATCTATGTAATTTCAGAAAATTTCTACACATAAACAATACATTTTCACTCACTTCTCATTCCTCTTCAACGCAAGTTGAGTAGAAGAAATAGCAAATATTTGAGCACCTTTATGTCAGCTATAATTCTAATTGATTATATTATACATAATATTAAGAGAGCCGGCTGCGAATTTCGACCGTCATCTGACAACGAAGAGTTATATGTTCCAAAGGCATGTAAAAACATTGTATTTTATCGAACGACACCTGTGCCAATCACTATCCTGAGCAGAATGATCGAAAAATTGCACTTTCCTGTGCGGTAACTTGTACTCAATTTCAAGATGAGCCTTATGTCATCCGATACCAATCGGATAGTAGATCTCAAAAACCTCCCTGTGTCACCCCTCAATCTGAACCAAATCCACGGCACGGCAATGTATTTGCTGCCGTTATTCCGGACATACTTCCGTCGTGTGATAACGAGTTGAAACAAAAAGCAGGATAATGTCCCTTCTGCGAATAATCAATCGTGCCGCGAATCGAACTGAGCTGAGTTAGTGGCAGAGTGTCAGTATTTCCGAGAATATTTCGTCACTGTCGAGAGATAATATCCGATGAACCAGTGTGAAACATCTCGTTATCAAATCGCGGAATTGAGTGCAACTTACCGCACAGGAAAGTGCCATTTTTCAATCATTTTGCTCAGGATAGTGATCGGCACAGATGCCGTTCGATGAAATTCAATGTTTATACAAGCATGAAAGGGCAATTCGTCTCGTAGGTGATACCTCGCTCACAAACTCACTCGCTTCTCTGGAACACCGTAGAAAAGTTGGCGATCTGGCTCTTTTTTATAGATATTTTCATGGACGATGCCCTTTTTAAATATCAACAATTGTTTCTCCCTTGGAAGTCCCCGCGAGATTAACCCGTCGAGTTGAGACTTCGCACCCCTTCGTGGTCACTTTGGAGACCTGCAGAACATCTCTTTCCAAAGACTCGTTGATCCAAGGAACAGCGAGGCTCTGGAACACACTGCCAAGGGAGATGTTCCTCGAGGCAGATATCCTCCAGAAAATTTAAGAAGAACACCAATTCCCACCTTATTTTCCTTGGCTCTCACGATGTTCTCTGAACATTACAAGATATCCCTCTTCGTGGGAAGAACCAGAACATAAAAAAATGCTTTTCGGATAAATATCTTTTCGTTATCAGATGACAGTCGGAATTTGCAGCCGGCTCTTGGACTATGATAAGAAAATTACCTTCTGTTTCTCTACATTTCCAGCCTGTTTCTCCTTTATGTATTTCAATTCATCTTCACTGATCCACGAATGCATTTCCGGGGTGTCAGCACAAACGAAGAAAAATATAATGCAAAAAATGACATTCTTTATACTAACAGAGTAAAATCCCCAGTCCCATCCAAATGCTGCAGTGATGGCGCCCACCATGGGCCAAGTGATACAAGTACCCAATACGTTGCCCATGAGAGCTCCAAAGAATTTGCCTTTCTCTTCCGGAGGTGCCCAGTGCGCGATCAGGCATTGCAGTGCTGGATATATTAGACCCTTGAAAGATTAATATTCTATTATATCGAAGACTGGAAATCTTTGGTACGATGATACACATACACTGTTTTACCACTAACCAAACCGATTTTTTACTCCCCGACACGTATTTCGCTAACTATGCACAGAGAAAAACGGTCCAGGTACACAAGTACACTTGAGGGAAATTTAATACCCACAAATACAGGGTATGTCACGACGAGCTTACACTATCTCTATATCGAGAATCAGTCGGGAGAAATCCATGAAAATATGCATGCTTAAATTTTAGAATACGCTCTCTTCATTTAAAATATTTTCAGCAATTCAGTGTTGCCGCTTCTATAAAAAAGTAGCAACAACTTTGTTGTTTCAAATAGAATACCCTGTAATTTATTGCATTTTTAGAGTCTTCCTGAAGAGCTGATTTCATCGATGTATCACACTTGGGGTCTATCGGAAATGATTACTGAGAAACAGGGTGTTCAAAATCGAGATTCTTTCACTTTAGGATTTGTTTGTGTCGAAACTATTCATTATCGGCCAAAACGGCTCACATGTCCCTATCTCAACTTTCGATTTACTGTTTACTGATATTTAATCGGAACAGATACAGGGTGATCAGAATTCTGAATCTTGAACCACCCTCTGTATCTGTCCCGATGAAATATCAGTAAATGGTGAATCAGAAGTTGAGATTGGGACATGTGAGCCGTTTTGACCGGTTTCGACACATAAAAATCCTAAAGTTGAACGCATGATGTTCTTTGAACATTATAGGGATTCCCTGTCATGCGCTCCAAGCGATAAAAAAAAATCTCGATTTTGAACACCCTATATCTCTCTAATCATTTTCGATAGACCCTAAGTGTGATACATCGATGAAATCAGCTCTTCAGGGGAAATCTATAAATGCGATAAAATACAGGGTGTTCTATTCGAAATATCAATGTTGCTACTACTTTCTAGTAGAAGCGGCAATACTGCATTGTCGAAAATATTTTAAATGAAGAGAGATTATTCTGAAATATAAGCATGCACATTCTCATGGATTTCCCCTGACTGATTCTCGATATAAAGATAGTGTGAGCTCGTCGTGACATACCCTGTACATATATTAATGAATTTTCATACCATTACAATAGAATGTTTTTTTTTTCTGATATCGACTTCCAGTGGCAGGTTAACTATGCTCCTGGAACAGGCCATCTTTCTTGTGCCTGATTAATTTTTATCGGTGTGTTTAATACTCAGTGTACAGGGTGATTCACCATAAATGTCCCCCCCTCTAGCTCAGTTATTTTTAAACCGATTTCGAAATTTGAAATATCATCTTGAATGATTTTTGATTGAGTTTTTTTCCGCTACATCAGAAAATACAGGGTGCTCAGAACAAACGATCTACAGGGTCCCATTTGATTTTTTTATATGGAACACCCTATTTTTCATTGTATTTTTAGATTCTCCCTGGGAAGCTGATTTGCTCAATGCATCACACTTGGGGTATATCGGGAATGATTACAGAGATAAAGGGTGTTCAAAATCGAGATTTTTCATTTTTGGGATTTTTTTGAGACGAAACTATTCATCATCGGTCATAACGGCTTTCATGTCCATATCTCAACTTTTGATTTACTATCTACTGACATTTAATAATTGGAACAGATACAGGGTGATCAGAATTCTGAATCTTGAACCACCCTGTAAATGTTCCAATCAAATCTCAATAGACAGTTAATCAAAAATTAAGATGGAAACATGGGAGCCGTTTTGACCAATAATGAATAGTTTCGAGACAAAAAAATCCTAAACTTGAAAAATCTCGATTTTGAACACCCTATATCTCTGTTATCATTCCCGCTAGACCCCAAGTGTGATGCATTGATGAAATCAGCTCTTCAGGAAGAATCTAAAAATACAATGAAATACAGGGTGTTCCATTTGGAAAAATCGAGTAGTACTCTGTATATCATTTGTTCCGAGCACCCTGTATTTCATGATGCAACGGGAAAAGAATTCTGAGAAATCAATTTAAATTATCCTTCAAATTTTAAAATCGGGTCAGAAATAAGTGAGCTAGAGGGGGGGACAATTATGGTGAATCACCCTGTACAACAAACCACCTAACATTAATATAATTGTCCCGCAATCCTTGTTTTCTATGAGTGGAAGGAATAATTCTGCCATTATCACCAGTTCAATAACAACAGGTAACAGTTCACTAGATTTCTCTAGTTCGTCATCATTCGGCTAATTTCGAATACACACGGTTACGCCATGAGCTGACTGCGCAACTCTTCTGAACTTCATTCCATTAATGAACTCAGAGTCTGTATCTCTACCACATCTGTACTAATAATATGTACCTTTGTATCCTCGCCGTGTTTGCGAACATTTATGCGTGCCCATTTTCTATTCTAAAACATTTGTGTTGTGCATGTGAATGTGACTATTCCAAAAACATTTCTCCCAGTGAAATTATCACCATGGGGCGACTAGCCCCAGGTCGAAAGTTGAAAAATAGAAGCAGCATAAAGCAGTTCCTCGACGACACTTTGGAACAGCAGGCATTCCTTTTTCTCCGTGCATGAAGAAATCTTCATGGGCACACACGTTTTTTAGTGATATGTTTTTCTTCTTCCGAAAATGATTTTAAGCCAGCTAGTTTCTCATGTTGGTTGATCATTTGCAATCAATTGTAACATCTGATATTATATGTCCGTTTTATTCGCGATTCGTGCCACTTATTTTTCATCTGAAGAGGTTATATTCTGAAAATATCTCCTATTGTGGTTGTGGCTTCTCAATATTTTTATTGAGTGGGCTCTATGGTGTCTAAATTTCAGTAGGAAGTCAGTTGTAGAGTTATTTTTTTATTTTATTTTTTTTTATCGCTTGGAGCGCACGAAAGGGAATCCCTATAATGTTCAAAGAACATCGTGCGTTCCTGGGGAGGATAGAGACAGAAGGAAGGAATTGGAATTTTTTTGAACTTTTGGAGACTACATGTTGTTGGGAATACTTCCACAGGCAATGAATTCCAGAGCCTAGCCGTTCTATGGATGAAAGAGTCTTGATAAAGTGCTGTTCGACATCTTTCGAGGTTGACAACGAAAGGATGTGCTGACTGGGCTTGTCTAGTTCGTCTGATTGGTATTGCTAGTGAAGGGATGATAGCAGAGATTTCCGACGAACATTTCCCGTGGAAGTATCGATAGAAAAGTGAAAGGTCGCCGACCTTTCTACGGTGTTCCAATGATGTCAAAGAGTGAGTGAGTGTGGCGTCACCCACCAGGCGAATGGCTCTTCTATGGATGGAATCTAAGAGCATCAGCGTATGTTTTGGTGCTGAACCCCATATGTGGGAACAGTATTCTAGAACAGGCCGTATCTGCGCTTTGTAGATCATGAGAAGCTGTTGTGTAAAGTAGCTTTTCGCACGGAACAAGAATCCGAGTTTTTGTGAAGCAGCTTTTGCGATGGATCTGACATGATTATCCCATGAAAGAGTGTTGCTGATGGAAATACCGAGCATAGATATGGTGGGCTTGGTGGGGATGGTGGAGCCAGACATTACAATATCGGGCATACTGAGTTCCGCCTAGACAATCATTTTCCATTGTCACTCGAAATTAGGGCTTTTCATCTTTATCATTATTCATTATATGTATCTTTTCGGTTGAGTAACCGACAAACATTACTCGACTCCTATGTATGATTGCCTGCGGACATTTCTGTATACAAGGAAAGACAATGCCAGAGGACGAACGGGGAAATATGGACACTGTATAGTACCATCCTGCCGGCGATGCTTCGTATAGTGCATGATTTCGAGTGACTTCGGGAATTGGAAGGATTCTGCCGCCTGGTGTGTGATGAGAACTCACTAGCGTCTGCGGACGGCCGCAAGTAATAACTCCGTGGTAGGGGAACGTTAGTTAACTTGTGTCGAGTCTAATAATAATAATAATAATAATAATAATAATCTTTATTCAACGAATTTTATGAGAATTACAAAAAAAAATTTAGAGAAGTAGCTATCGATATAACAACGTATTGTAATTGTTCAGTATACATATCTAAAAATTACAGAATAAAGCAAGGTACCTCCTTAAGAATCTAAGGATTCTTGACTGGAAGTGGATATTCAATATTATTGTAACTTTTTGAGCAGTAATGAAGTAATAGTTTCTCTCTCTTTGAGCTATCCCTAATAATTAATTGAATATTAAATAGACTGATAAATACATACTATTTCACCTATATTTATAAGAAGATAAGAAAATATCCACATATCTGGATGGCCGGAACAATTATTAAAGAAAATGTGTCGTCTCGATTATGGACTGACAATTCCATCCGAACACCGATATGAAAAATACTTTTATAAACATTCACAGAAAATTAACTAAAATAAATACAAGTTCCTAGAAATTAATTTATGATCCATTACAAGTTTTCGTGAATCAATTCATAGTTTTCGAGAACCCATTTTTTGATCTTTTTTTTTGCCGCAAATTTCAATTTGGTTTGTTGTATGTCAGTGTCCAGTAGATTATACAATTTAGGACCCGTATAGAATAGATTTTTCTGCCCAATTGATTTTTCAGGTCTTTGACTTCTCAAATGATTGTTTTGTTTGGCGCGGGTATTTATATTATGCTGAATTTGTGGAAAGATAGATTTATTATTGAAGACATATATAAGTAATACTTTCGCATAGATTTGCCTCATATCACATATTCCGTTTTGCTTATGTAATAAAATAGTTGGGAATCTATTTTTTTTGTCAAATATAATTTTAAGAATGCGTCTTTGAATTCGTTCCAAGTAAATCAGAGTTGTTTTGTCGCATGCACCCCAGGCAATAATTCCATATTGTAGTATTGACTCGACAAAACCATGATACAAAATTCTCAGTTCATTTGGTTGCATTATGGCTTTGAGCTTTTTAAACTTATAGATCAACCCCCTAATTTTCTGACATGTGTACTGTATGTGCATATCCCATCTTAAGTGTG